TGAACAAGACTCAACCTTCAGGCAACTCTTTCTTTGTGACTTTTCCTAAAACAAATGTAGACCTTACTAAGCCCTGGTCTAAGACCCACCTTGAGCTTAATAAACATAAAATTGCCACACCAAAAATCTCCACAGAGCATCTTAAAATATCCTCATTTGTACCCAAAAAGCCCAGAGTGAAAGGGGACCATATATAGGGAGAGGAACATCAACACAGCAGGACAACAATGATTCGTAGACAAATGATTTGACCCTAAATTTCTTGAAAGCCAAAAGAAAGTGTCATTGCACTCAGTAAGGCTGAAAAGAGAATAAATTTCACAAGCAGCAAGCAACTTAATTTATCTGTTTCTGACATACACAGGGACATGCCAAGTAGACCATGGCAGTTTGTGAAATATTGACATGAATGTCATCCTTGCTAGTGACTAGCCAGTGAGTAAGCAAGAATCTAGAAAGCCAACCCTGGCATCTTGCTCCTTCCCCAGATGACAGGACTTCCTTCCAAGACATCTGAAGGAAGCTTAAGACTTGGTCCAACCAAGTTTACCAGGAGCCTGCCCCACAGTTCTTCCCCAACTGTTCCAACAGATGAGGGATATAGGTGAACAGTGTGTAATCCCTTGATATTTCCACAGCAATCTGGCAGAAGGAGCCTGGGATTACTTCTAATAGAAAAGACAAAAACAGGATACCTGAACACAGACGATTCTGAGCTAGGAAAATGTCATGTCAGCTTCCTCATGATTCTCTCCTAACTGTGGGCATCCTATCATATGTAGGACCTATCATTGTCAACATCCATGTCCCCAAGACCTGGTCCTGTCTCTTTTTTATTATCCAATGACCTAAGTCCTGGTTTTGTCTCTGATTATTGCCTAGGATTTGAGATAATTTGATGATCTCCTCCAACATGTTCCACATCATAATTGCTTCCCATATGCTGGGCTCCCATGGCCAGGAGTTGTCAACTGAAGCTCTCTACAGAACCAGGGTTGGAGGCAGGCATCTCACACTACAGCAAGTGTTCTAACAATCATCCACTGACACAAGGAAGGTGACTTGGCAAGAAAGAAAGGAAAGAAAGAAAGAAAGAAGGAAGGAAGGAAGGGAGGAAGGAAGGAAGGAAGGAAGGAAGGAAGGAAGGAAGGAAGGAAGGAAGGAAAGAAGGGAGGGAGGGAGGGAGGGAGGAAGGAAGGAAGGAAGGAAGGAAAAGAAAGGAAAGAAGGAAAAGAAAGGAAGGAAGGAAGGAAAAGAAAGGAAGGAAGGAAGGAAAAGAAAGGAAAGAAGGAAAAGAAAGGAAGGAAGGAAGGAAAAGAAAGGAAGGAAGGAAGGAAGGAAGGAAGGAAGGAAGGAAGGAAGGAAGGAAGGAAGGAAGGAAGGAAGGAAGGAAGGAAGGAAAAGAAAGAAAGAAAATCAAGAAAGCAAGCAAGCAAGCAAGCAAGCAAGAAAGAAAGAAAGAAAGAGAAAGAGAGAGAGAAAGAAAATGTCACAAAACTGAAAACTGAAATGTTCCTAACGAGGGCTCACAGTCCATGTGTAATGTTAATCTTCCTGGGAGAATAATAAAAAAGTTAATTCCCCTCACAGCTCACTCACAAATGGAAATAACTTACCTTTCTCCTAGCTACAGTGGTAAGGCTATCCCCTCATCCTCTGGAAATGTAGACAGAAAATAAAAATAATAAAGCGCAGGGCTGAGATCCAGTATTGCTATTTGCTTAATACAGGACTCTGGTCAGGTCACTCATTCTTTCAATATATCTGTCTCCTTGGCTGCCATATTGGCATATAAGATGATTCCAACTTCTTGATGGATTGTCAAAGGAGGGGGTCATGGAGGATAGAATGTGACAATGCTTTGGGAAAACAAATTCTATACAAAGATAATAGTTTTTTCTTATTCACAAAGACATGGGAGCAAAAAGAATGTTCCCTCAGAGCAGTAGATTCATCCTGAGCCTCAGACTCAGCATCTCAATAATTATGAGTAAAATTGTGAGTGAAAGCAAGGACGGGATGAACTCCATTGAGATTGTAGGATAAAACCAATGTGTTGTACACAATGAAAATATGTTTTAGAAATATGCATTTTCAAGACTAGACATAGAAACTAAAAACTATTATCTTGCATTCAGAGTGGAAAAAAGTGAACCCTTCTATAAGAATCATTTGATAATTAAATTTAAAAATAACAATATTAGTGGTTCCTAGGAAAACTGGATTTTGCCTTTAGAAATTTCTTTTATTGATGTGATGAGATTTGTATGACCCTCTAAGTCTTCCCCTGTTTCTTTCTCTTGGAGGGGGTTGGTACTAGGGATTAAACCTAGGTTCCTATGCATGCGAGGCTAGAGCGACACCACTCCACTGTGCCTTCGTGCTGTTTCTTCCCTTTAATTTCTCAGTGAGAATAAGAGGCAATGCTTTTCAAGCTAGGCACTAGTGGCTCACACCTGTACTCCTAAACTACTCAGGAGGCTGGGATCTGAGGCATTGCAGTTAGAAGCCAACCTAGACAGGTAAGTCCATGAGACTCATCTCCAATTAAACACAGAAAACAAATGGTAGAGTGTGAGCCTTGAGGAAAAAAAAAAAAAAAAAAAAAAAAAAAAAAAAGCTCAGGGACAGCACCCAAGCCCAGAATTCAAGCAAAAAAAATTAAAAGAAAAAGAAGGAATCAACGTTTTCATAGAGTGATTTTTGTCACCACCCTGACCACTCTGCCATGTTTTGTTTAGACATCTGTTTCCACTAGCCTTGGGTGAAATAACACATCTGTGGAGCTCCAGGGCTCAGACTCCAGAGATGCTACAATGTAATGCTAGCTAAGTCTCTTCCCTCTCTGAGCCTTGGCTTTTTCATCCAGGAAGACAGAGTTGCTCTTCATCAATGTGCTCAGAATCTTCGAGGGAACTCTAGTTTGTGTAGTTTTCTGAATTTTGTTCCAGGGAAGCACAGGTGGGTTTAAGGCTATGATTTCTGCCACAAAAGAATTCAATTCTTAGTGGAAAAGGGAGTACACATTAGCAGATCCTCTCCCCACTCCCCCTACCAAAGGTGAGCACTCTCAGTCCAGGATCTGGTGGTCACTGGAGTCCTGACTTCAAAGCTCTACTAGGTCATAATGTGAAAAAAGAAATCTGTCCTAAATGAGTTTCCAGAACATGTTTCCGATGGAAAACCACAAAAAATGTGACTGTCTTTCCCATCTTTTCATCCCTCAAACTTGCATGGATCTTGAGTACTGCTGAAACATCTCTCCATACATTTGAAAGACAGGAACTTCCCAACTTTACTTACTACTAATCTTCATGCTCAAGAGAAGCTAGCTGCTCTTTGTCTTTCTTCCCAGTAACTGAAGCAGGACTTACGAGAGAAAAGGACTTAAAAAGTTTAATTGATTCAAAAATAAACCCCTCTTTGCACTCTTCTTCTTCGCTGTGTTGTTCTTTGAATCATTTTTTTTTCTTCCTTAGCTTCTCCAACCCCATTTTTCTCTTGAATATATTAGACCCACATTTTCTATGCTCAGACCTTCATTTTCTTTGTACCACTTCAACATCTTCATGCAGTCTCAGACTTTTTCTTGGAACTATTAGGGAAAAAAAAAAGTTTCCTCACTCCCTTGTTGAACAGATGGGGAAATTCCTCATGCCAGGGGATTGAATAGTTAGCTCATGTGTAAAATGGTAACCAAGTTCAGGCCAAGCACCTTGTCAATGTGAGAAACACTTTATAACCTTAAGAACTCTACACTGCGGAACAGCTCGTTAGGTAAAGTGAGTTTTATAAGAAATTCTCCAAAGACAATAGAATGTTCTTTAAAAAATAATTTAAAAGGGGCTGGGAAGGTGGCTCAGTGGGAGAGCGCTTGCCTTGCATGCCTGAGGCCCTGGGTTCGATTCCTCAGCACCACATAAGCAAAAAGAAAAAAGCCAGAAGTGGCGCTGTGGCTCAAGTGGTAGAGCGCTAGCCTTGAGCTGAAGAGCTGAGGGACAGCGCCCAGGCCCAGAGTTCAGGCCCCACGACCGGACCCAAAAAAAATAACTTAAAAGCAGAAGATAAAAAGCATTCTAGTACAGATGCACTCTGCCTGGGGTACTAACTATGCATGATTGAAGACTGTTATGTCATATTCCCCCTCCCCCATGTGTCAATGTTAGGACAACAATGATTACCATGAGCTAATGCTTGTTGAATGCAAGACATTTTTTCAGCTTCTATTAGAGAAGAATGGTGAAGATTCTCAAAGGCTGATCAAGTTCCTATGAGCTTTTGTTGCTAATGACCATACTGTTATACTAGTGCCAATGGTTGACCAGGCCAGACAAGGCAAAGTAGCGATGAGGGTAGTACTATAAGGCAGGTGGTGGAGAGTCAGCACCTGCAGTCCTCTGTGGGCACGTAGCCAGCCCTAGGTTATGAAAGAGAAATGGTACTCAATGTTCCTTAATAAATAAAATACTTAATCCGAGCAAATAAAAAGCTATGGGGAGCCTGTGCTTGCACTGGGCTGACCAGCTTTTCTCTGACAGCAACCCTGGTGTGCAATTATGTATAATTAGGTACTTTTCGGGGTAGGGGGTCTTCTTTCCATTACTTCCTTCAGCCCATTAATACAGAGAAAGCATCTCTCAGCATACCATCAACTTAAACTGTTGGATCCCGCCTAATAGCCTCAGCAGAAGTTAATGGATGAAATCCCTGGAGAGGTTTATTTTTGTTTTTTTGTTTTGTTTTGTTTTGTTTTTCCCAGGTAAAAGGGAAGCAAGAGGCTGCTATCCAAGACAGGAGTTAAAGATGGTCTTTGGTTTTGTCTTTACTGCACTCTAAAAGCAACTTTGAAGATGTAGATCAAGTGCTTGTTTAACTTCACAATTTTTCCTTCTAATTGTCTCCTTTCTATGAAGATATCTTTAAGGATTCCCCCCACCCATTGGCCTACTCCTTAGGAATTCTAGAAATGATCAGACACATCAGTTATAGTAGGGAAAATATTTATTTTCTAACACCATTACCTTGACAGGCAAAACAAAGCATGTTCTCAATTTCATTCAGAAATAGATTCTTTAAAAAAAAATACATAGACCAATATGGCCTGCCCAGTCATATATTCAACATGGTAAATATAAGGAATAAATTGTTTGAATATAAATATCTATAAAAAAATAAGTACATCAAAATTCAATCTAACCTCTTCCATTTGCCGGTGACATAAAAGAACATAACTTTACTGCTTTAAAGCATAACCAACTGTCAGTATCTTTCATAAACAACCTTATTACCATTGCGCTTCCAAAAACTCAAGAAAAGGGAACGTTCTGATTCAATAATCTTGTTTCTTATGGATCAGAGCCAGTAGATGAGTGTAAAATGTTTTTATCAACCACTGACACCTTGGTCCAGACTTCTACCAGACTAGGATTTAGTATGGGGCTGGCTGGGAGTGGGGGGGTGGCAGAAGGAGAAAGCATTTGAGGAAACAATAACTAAAGGTGAGAAAACTTCTGCCAGAGTGCAATTACAGGTGAGGTAGACTCATGAAACACATCCCGATTGACAGTAGTAAGAAGCTCTTTCAGTTTTGTATTTTACAACTTAAAAACGAAAATGTCTTTTTTTTAAAAAAAAAACTCAAATGTTTGTCCTTCGAGTATGTTTTCAATTTGTGCATTCCTTAGAAAAATCTTTGCGTGGACTTTGGAGTTTCTCCCTGAAATGTGCCAGGCGCCTGAGTCAGACACAAACACTCCCTTAGGACTTTCTTCAGAAACTCCACCCTGGTGTGGAATCTCCTTCCTCCCTCTGGAGGGTGCCACCCTAATTCGAATGTCATTGTGTGTCTCTGTGCTCTGAGAGGTCCATTGTCATTTCCAAAGAGCAAGAAGAGACAAAAGCATTGGAAGCAAATGGAGACATGTTGCAGGGGGGAAGGGGAAACTCCTGGACCCTTTCTGGAATGTTTTGAACAAGGATATTAGTCCTTGGCCAGTCTAGAGCAAGCAGGGACTGTTCTCTTGCTCTGATTCCAGCCAGCATGGATCTGGATCCGGTGCCGAGTTGACCACAGGCTCTCTATATGGCGGTGACAGCTTCCTCCGGCAGGTGATCTATCATCAGTGTGTTCGGTTGTGGGTCACTCTCTGCTCTCTGTAGAGCTGGGCTTTCAACTTTGCAACACGAAAAGATGCTTTGATGCTGTTGCTGATGGACTCCAACCTATTAGAAACAAGACAAGAGAGAACAAAGATTATTTTTTTTAAAAGGTCAAGACATGACTCCTCAGCTAAAGAAACACCTAAAATAGAAACTGGCATAAACATTTCTAAATCTGGTTTCTGAACTTTTACTGCTGACCACAATAGCATGCTACTGTATGATAAAAACATCAAGAGGTATGAATACTACTGTGGAAAAAAAAAAGCCTGCCCCTTATACTTAGGATAGGGGAGAGGGATCATAGGGTTCTGTGTAGAGGAAATTGACACTAAATATATTTTTAATAAAATGGAGATGTTCTAGTATCTTTTATAGCTCCAATCTTCACCATTACAGACAAGCTCAGCCCACTTGCACATTTTCTAAGTCACATAAGAAACGTAAGGTAACAAATTGGACATGGAAATGAAGACAGGATGCCTATAGGTAGGCCCAAAGAACATACTTTGAGGGTGTGTTTTTTTTATTGTAGGTTTCTGCAGGTCTAATGTTTTTGTTTGGGTTTGGTTTGATTTTTTTTCCCTTCCTTTCCAAGAGAAAGAAAGAAAGAAGAAGAGTAACATTAATAAATGACATAATAAAAAGGAATAGAAACAATGATAATTCCAGTTCATTTCAGCAACTGTGACCTAAGAAAGGAGCATTCCTAGTGTGGCTCAAAAACACCTGAGACAGGTGTGAGCAAAGAATATCTAACGTTGTCCCACAAATGAGTAGTAAACAACTCAGGAGTTCTTTAGGACTGCCAAGCTTGGGCTCAGAATACTGATCACAGAACGACTGTTTCTTGGAACAGTTTCCCTAGACCATGACAGGGAAATGTAGGACATGTAACACATCTGAACATAGGGTTCCTCCCTCCAGCCTGTGGGTTTCCAAAAGCTTAAGATTTGGGAGGAGCTGTGCCACAAAGCTGCTCAGAGCCACTGGGCAGGGTTTGGAAACTAGACAGCCTTTTGGAATGGCATTGGCTCTCCCCAAATGAATTTCCCTATTTAAAAAGTAATGGTAGGAATAAACCCAAAAAATAGCATATCCTGATTCTCACCAACCCTACCGAATGGATTAGATTTTCCCTTCAGTCGTTTGAATAACTGCTACTTTTTTTTGAAGAACTCAACTGTGCCTGACATTTTGAGTTTAAAGAAAACAAATGTTCTCTTCCTGAAACGAGTTTTAATTTTACAAGGAACATGTGAAGCGCTTGGATACAGAGAGGGAAAGACTGAAGATGACCAAATGACACAGCTATCTATGGATTTTTGTTTGGAAAAAATCTGCCTATAGACTGACTAGTGTTGGCTGAAGCATAGTGGGCAGAAGTGGGCATTCAAGGCCTGCAAGAATGTATTTGGGAGGGATTCCCTTGCTCTGTTCAATCTACACACCATTAAGATCTCCTTTGTCATTTTATTCTAAGCCTTTTCCAGCTTCCATAGGACGTTCCAAGGGATTAAGTCATTAGCACGTGTGGTCATAAAAGAAAGACCTCATACCTTCTCATTTTTCTTCCTTCTACCAACTGCTGATGGATACACTTCTTTCCCAGTTTGGAACACCCTTTTCCTTTCTTGTGGTTACTCCAGTCTTTCTGTGTACTGTCTTGTACTCTGTTAAAACACAAGGAAAAAATTTCCATCAATGATCGTTTGAGATTCACTTGAACTGTCAATGTCTCTGCCTAGATTCTCTCTCTCTTCCTCTCCAAAGCCAGGACATATCTTCCTAAGAAGAAGGAGGTGAGGTGTCTGTACTATGGACTGAAAAGCAAAGGTGTTTTGACTCACCTGAGTTCTTTTCCTGCTTGGCAAAAATTCCAGCACTTCTTGTCTTTTTGGTTAGCACATTGGCATCTGTTCAGGTGGTCTGCTGCCTTCATAGGGAATAAATCCTTCAAGGATCGCTTAGACCTGGAAGGGCTTCCAAGTCCATAGGGAACAACATGCCTATTGTAGAGAGATAGGAATACAAATTATTACCATAAATAATCTTCCAAATGATACATTCTTTGGGGCTAGTTCATGCTACCGGGTATACAAGGAGCTAGTCACAAATCTGTTGAGAGCATAACTTAAGGCAGTAAGTGTGGCTGTAATCAGCAACACGTCCCTATCAAAAGCCTTCAATGGGTGTACCCATTAGGGAAGAAATCAAGTTTCTCTGCAATGAAATTTCATTCCATAGCAATCATTAACAAAGTTTAATCACCTAGCAATATTTTTTGTCCAAAATAATTACTTCTCTATTTTAGTGTGTGTTTTGCATTTTCTTCCTTCTAATGTGCTAGTTGGCTAACAGCTACTTAAACCAAAGGTCAGAGAATAGATATACTTTAATGTGAAACCATGACTCAGAACATTTTTTTCAAACCTATTTTCAATTCTAATCATAAATGATAATGCTAAAAGAGCTTGCCGGGAAAAACCAATATTTTCACATTTCCTCCATGGATTGATGAAATCATATTGCTATGGAAGGACTTGTGGCCAAAAGCCTGCCCAATAATTCACAATATGGCATAAAGAATAAAGTCAGCTGGGTGCTGATGGCTCACATCTATAATCCTAGCTACTCAGGAGGCTGGCATCAGAGGATCGAAGTTCACAGCCAACACTTGGCAGAAAAGTCCGTAAGTGACTCTTATCTCCAATTAACCACTCAAAACCTGGAAGTAGAGCTGTGGCTCAAAGTGGTAGAGTGCTAGCCTTGAACAAAAGAGCTCAGGAACAAAGCCTAGGCCCTGAGTTCAAGCCCCACAACTTTCAGGAAAAAAATAATAATAAAGTCTTTTGGGAAGTATTATCTTTCAAAGTACTATTAGGCTCATGGTATTTAGGTTTGATGTACTTTTGTTTGGATTTTGGTCTTTTGTCATAGTGAACATGGTAAGCACAATATCCTTGCTTATGACAAATATTAATGGAGGATCTAGTGCTTGGAGCAAAAGAGAAAAAAATTGCCTATATTTGTCAAAAGAGAAATCTATAGACTTTATATTTATATTTCTGTCTTGAAATTGGGTTTTCTAAAGAGAAAAAGTGAGAAAAAAAGAGATCTAGAATCCTGTTCAGTTATACCAGGAAATCATTCCTGCAGGACAGAGTTCAACATTATGGGCTTTAATTTTTCTATAGATAAAACAAAGGGATTGGCTTATGACTGCCTGTGATCTTTTCTACCTCTCCACCTGCATGAGACTTGGGTAATTTATTTCCTGAGAACCTAGTAAGATCGCACCATGAAAGCACCCTGCCAAGCATGCATAGCTTCAGCTTGCCCTCAGCTTCTTCCATCTACCCCATAATGATTAAGTAGTGTGAGCTACAGACATCAGAAAACCCTCTTCTTAACTGCTAAGAAGCAAACAATGCAGCCCAAGTACCCTACTAAGGTGCTATTCTGTTGTCAGAAGAGCTACCATCAGAATCCAAGACAGAAGCTCCCCAAAACAAGAGCTCTAGGAACTGCTCAGCTGATGAATGACTATAGAGTTATGATGCCCTCTAGAGACTCACTCAGGAGTGTTGACCCAGATGATGTCCAAATGGCAGAAGTAGACACACTCCTTATCCATGAGGGAAGAGCAGGAGCAGCGTTTGGATCTGCGGGGCCGCCAGGGCTCACTGGGAGGGGGCTTCTCCCCTCTGCTCGGTGCTCCAGTGCTAAGCTCAGTCCCCAAGGCCCCTGCGGAGAGAAAGCACCGGTCAGTCAGTGTGTGATGCCCCCTCAGAGACATACCGGATCACAGAATATCCATCCAAATCTAGCAGAGCCGTCAGTTCAAAGCGTGAAGCGTGAAGCTGCCCTTGGCAAGCAATGCAAACAGAAGGAAAGGGCTATTTATTTATTTTTCTCCTTAACAGGGCTTCACCTTTCCCCTGGCTGGCTTCTCCACCTGTAGGGAGGTTATACAAATGCAGAAGAGACAAACCCCTCAAAAAGGTCTTAGCAGCCCCTCTTCAAGGACATGCGTGGAAATGCTGCCTTTTGGAGAGCTGAGGCCACTTCTGCTGGACACTTAGTAGGGCCACCTAACCCACAGTGGGTTCAAATCAGTGAATGACTACAGATTAATAACTGATACTGCCCATTCCTAGAATGGGAGACACTTCCATTCCATCCTGCTTGAGGGGATGCTCTTCGCTGCACACCTCATGCCAGACACAGAGTGCCCCAAAAGACACACACACACACACCCCCTCTGCAAATCATGTAGAAGGCAGAGCACCAGGGAATGACCAGCAGGGGAAAGAGAAAGTAACTAGGAGATGCATCTCTGGTGGGAGACTCCACAGAAACCACTGGAGATGCTGAGAAACAACCGGAGCCACCCAGTTAGGACTCCATGAAGTGTGAATTCAGAGACCTTAGAGCAGCATAATGTGTGTGTGGTGGGGGGGAGGGGAGTACCCCTGTCCCTCAGCCCTGATACAGCTGTGTCTTGCCATTGACTAGTTACCAATACAGCCTATCTGCCCGATTTGGGACATTTCAAATGATTAGACACATTCCAGGATCTTCATTCTTTTGGCATCCTTTCTCTTTGGTCAGGGTCAAGGAAGGACAAAGGAAGAGCGTTGACCCTGGAAGGAAGGGGAGGCAAGGCAGTAGGCAGATGCACACATGCTATCTAAATCCGTAAGCAGCCAGCTCCCCTCCCAGGACAGGTGACTACAACTGAAAAATAAAGATCGCACTGCTTTGACTGCCAAAAATCTGCCAAATGAAACCCAAAGTCAATAATGACAAATTTTAAAGAAAACATCTGCTTCGCCCTGAAACTGCCTGGGGTTTATATATATATATATATCTACAACATGCATTTTGCAGGTGAGTCTACTGTTCCTGTATCACTTTAATGACCTGGATAAAATTCCTTGGCTTTGAGCTAAAATGTTTCAATATTTTACACGTTAGCACACAATTAAAGCAGTGTTTGAATAAGATAAAAGTTTCCAAGTGCACCATGTTACCGCATTACCTGTATGAATACACGTATTGTAAACTAAGTTATAGCTGCCTTATATCCTTCTTGAGTTATTTTTTAAACCAAGGAAATGCATCCTGGAATAATAGTAAGGATAACGATAGTGATAAAAAGTTATTTTAAATCTCCCTTGTATTTAATTGCAGTCAATTGTATCCAGTCGAAGAATTTTATTTTATTTTTTTTTCCACCGGAACACTCAGTAGATTTGAGCAATACTTGCCAGGCGCTCTCTATCTCAGCTACACTAATTTATAAAGAAAAAGAAAAATCCAGAAGATGAATCAGAAAAGAGCTTTCCAAATCAAGCCGTGCCTACCTGTGTCTGGAGCTCCGTGGACAGCCAGAAACAGCAGAGGGAAAATCATGGAGAAACAATCCATGCTGGGGGAAAAAATCAAGAAGGATCACACTCTGAACCCAAAAGAAAATGAAGAAAACAGCGTCCGTTTGCTCCAAGCGCTGGTGGTTGTTGCGATCACAGGGTAAAAGCCTTCCGTCTAAGTGTCTTCTCAGAGGAGAAAGAGCGCTTTCTGCCCGGGGAGGGCCGGCGGCAAGAGCTGAGAGCCGGCTGCGAGCGAGCGCGCGCACGCGGCGCGGTGCGGAGAGGCAGCCACGGACCCGGAGCGCTCGCCCTGGCGCAGTTGGAGAAGCGCGTCTGACTTGGACAGCGCTCCGCTGGCTTTTTATATTGAACCCCTATAGAGTGGGGGTAAACAGGTCCAACTTTATTCCAGCCCTAGACAATGTTATTGTGCTATTAGTCACCAAAAGGCAACGTGCAGCCGGAGATAAGGCTAGGCTCAAAAGGAAATCACTGCTAACTTCAGAGGCAGACGCCCGCCGTCTGACAATTCAGGGGGCAGGGCTATGAGAAAGAAAATACCCATTAAAGACCTTTAGTAAACCTGCCCGTGCAGTGCTGGAGTCTACTTCCCCTTCCAAAAGCTGCCAGCCCGAGTTCAAGAATCAGAAGAGGCTCTCCAGAAGGAAAAGAAAAAAAAAAAAAGTCATACCATTGGTATGAAAAGTATGAGCTACAGTTTCAATAGATTGTATTGTGTGCAGGGGATTTTTTTTTCATTGTTGTTTGCTTCTTTTTCCTTTTACGTCTGTCTGATTTCTTAGTCTTGATCAAGCAAGAGGACCCTCTCCCTTTTTATTCCCCCTCCCAAACTATTTTGGCCCATCAATGCATTTTTAACTTCAAGGCCCTCTCCCCCTCCCAGGCTTTTTCTTTTTCTTTTTTTCTCTTTTTTCCTAAAGTTTTTTTTGCATCTACCCTGAGAGAGATCAGGGAGGGAATTGGCAGGAATGGAAACGAAGAAGAAAGCCTAGCAATCTATCAGGCATATACTCAGATCTGTCCGGCCTCCCTCAGTATCCCTGATTAGAAGAGACCCCCCCCCCAAACACACACACACACACACACACACACACACACACACACACACACACACACACTTCTTATATGAACCCCCTCTGCCCTGGCCATGGGCCCATTGTCAATACCAAGATTTTAAAGAAATGACAGGAGAGGAACACCAGGGGGAGATGGAGAGCTACAGGGGCTGATGTTTATTTATTAGGCCAAAAAAAGTAAAAGCCTTGAATTTTGAAACCATGGAGGAAAGAACTGGTGACCAGAAATGAGGGAGGGAAGGGAACAAGCCTGTAACATAGAAAATCCAACTATTTCAGATGACTCCACTGCCCCCCTGACATGGGCACAAATTCCCTAAGGGAATCCATCACCATCCCCCAACCACCTGTTGGCTTCCTCTTTCAGGGCAAAAGGGTGTTCTGATACAGCGCTATGTGAATACACAGTGTGGACAGTGTTGGGAAGACGGAAATGGTCATGTGAATAATAGGATCAGATAATACCTCACATTTAATAATGTGTTTACATTTTCCAAACAATTTCCTGTCTATCTAACCTTGAAATAACCCCCCCCCTCAGGTGCCCACAGCACAGTTAATGTACAAGTGACAACACGCCTTAATGAATAAAGCCAAACACACATAGAACACGTTTCTGACTACTTCAACGAGCCCCACTTTTCAGGCGAGAAACGAAGGGGGGAGGGGAATCAGAATGCACAGCGACATCACCATCTTCCCAGCCCGCCCCGGAGAGACCGACAGTTCTCTTCCCTGCGCTGGGAAAAGCTGAGTTTAGGCCAAGATTTCTTCCAATTCTTATTTTGCTCAGGTTTTCTGGTGTGTGTGTGTGTAAGGTGATGTGTGTGTGGATGGGGGGGGGGGGGGGGAGGATTCCAACAACACAGGAGGATCCCACCGCACAGTTTCTTCATTTCTAGAATCTAAAGGACAGGCTTTATCCTAACACAGAAGCTGTGGACTTGCAACATTTTTAGAACCCCCTGGACCTCCCTGGAGATGCCAGTCAGTGAGCCACAATGGCAGGGTCAAGTCCCCAAGATCTAGTCCCTGAAAAAGCTTCTGCAGTAAGAGCTGGAGAGGGAAAAGGCAGGAAGCCTCCCTTCCCACACCCACGTGCACGCACGGAGATACCTGGGGATGATGCCCAGCGCCTCTGCCCAAAGCTCTCAGCCTCCGCCTTGCTTACCTCAGCCCAACCCTGGGGCCCAGGGAGGCCACAGCTCCCCCCAGAACTGGGCCCAAGCAGGAAGCTAGCTTTGCCCGCCCCAGCTCTGGCAGAGGCCTTGAAAAGAGTTGATGTCACATTCACAAGCTCCAAGCTTGTCAACTTCTGCGCCCCCCCCCCCACTCCCAGGGAAAAAGGTGACTAGGAAATGTGTATTGAAGGGTACCTCCCTATCCCTCTCCACACCTTGTTTCCTTAAAAACCTTCTGCCAGGTTTGACCAAACACTGTCAGGGCCCGTGTGGCCCCAGGCCCTCCCTGGAAACGACCTCCTCCCTGCTCAAGTATCTTTCTGTGTCCAAGCTTGGGCCATCTTCCAGTTGGGATGGGGCCGCTGCCTGCCCTCCCCGCCCCCCATCTTAACCCACAGGTGACCTAAGCACCAGCCATCAGGTGAAGAGGTGAAGCACAAGGAAACGGCCCACGCACCTTCCCACCTCCTCTTTCCTCCAAGATGTCATCCTGGGAATGGATTCAGGAAGAGAAATTCAAACCTGGGCAGTGATCTGCCCTCCCCTGTTCCCCCTTTCCTCCCCGCTCCCCCAACTCAGTGAAAGGAAATCTCAAATACAAACCCAGGATTTCAGATTTGGGAACGATTTATCTCTCCAAGTTAAAATAACTGCCCTGGTTTTTGCATCCTGATTTTTTTCAAGGTAGGGGTGTGTGTGTGTGTGTGTGTGTGTGTGTGTGTGTGTGTGTGTGTGTGTGTGTGTGTGTGTGTGTGTGTGTGTGTGTGTGTGTGTGTGTGATTCCTGGTCTCCTCTTTTAGTGCCTTGGTAGAATCTCTGGCTCTCATCAATACCACTTCTGTCAGCCCTCTTTCCTTCTAGATACCCAGAGAAGGCAGCTGTGGTGTTCCGCAGCGTCCCACAATGAAATCTTCCCAAGAACCAAGGGGAGGGGAAAAGAACCCCAACAAACCAGTTTTACAAACTCCCCCTGGCACCTTAATTAAGGCTTTATTAGACAGGGAAGTAGCAGAAGAGAAGGTCCAAAAGCTGGATAAAGAAATAAATATGGAAGTCAGGCACTGGTAGCTCACACCTGTAATCCTAGCTACTTAGGAGGCTGAGATCTGAGGATCACTGTTGGAAACCAGCCTGGGCTGAAAAGTCACAGTGAGACTCTTATTCTCGATAAACCACTCAAAAACTAGAAGAGGAGCTGTGGCTCAAGGCACTAGCCTTGAGCAAAAGAGTTCAGGGACACCACCCAGACCCTGAGTTCAAGCCCTACTACTGAAAAAAAAGAAAGAAAGAAAGAAAAGGAAAAAGAAAAAGAAGTATGAAGAGCTTCTATGAAGGTGTTTTCCTTGTTCTCCCATCCTTCCTCCCAAAGAAGAAAAAGGCTCTTCAGGGGGCCAATCATCCTCAGAAGGAAGGGACAGTAGGAAGAGAAGAGATAAAGAAGGTTTCTCCACCCCCCCACCCCCCAAAAAAAGAACAGTTTGCTGTTTCTTTTCTTGCTCTTACTCTTGCTTTTAGAATTATACTTAGATGCTGGAAACCTCGCTAACGTTATTTCTTAAATGTATTTCTTTCTGTATCTCTGGCTATGTATCAATAGCTATCTATAAATAAAACACCCTGAGCTCCAAATACAGATATTACACAGTAGCAAAATGTACTGTTTTTAGCCCTCTTCTCTTAACTTTTGCGTAATAAATCTTGCAGCTTTGCCAAGCCAATAAATTTGTTGTGAGATGTTGCTTTTTTTTTTTTTTTGCTCAAGGAAGAAAACAGCTATGAGGTTGCTGACAATGGAAACAAAGAAAAAAAGCAAAGCTAACCAGCTTATTGTAGTCAAGCTGAAGCTGACCACCCCCCCCCCCACCAGGCCTGGCTGGGCTGTGTGGGTGACTGTTTTACATTCTTACTTTGTCTAGCACTCTTGTGAAGTTCTCATTACTAGGCCCATCACACATTGTACACACCTAGAAGACATGAGCAGCACAGTTATCTTTGGATAGCCTAAATCATAATGGTAGATGTGGCTATGGTCAGGATAGATAATGCCAAGTATTTTAAAAGATTATTGATGTGGAGTATACATGTAGCTTAAAAGACTAGGGCCAATCTGGGCACTAGTGGTTCATGCCTGAAATCCTAGCTACTTAAGAGGCTAAGATCTGAGGATCTCAGCTCAAAGCCATCCCAGTCAGGAAAAATCTGTGAGACTCTGATCTCTAATGAACTACTAAAAAAAAAAATTGAAATGGAGCTCGGGTTCCAGTAGTAGAGCAGTAGCTGTAAGCAAAAAAGCTCCTAGGCACCAAAAATAAATAACAACAACAATAACAACAAAGACTAGGTCCAGTTCTGTAATGTAGCATTTCTCAAAAGCTCATTCATAAACCTCTTTCACAATGTTTGCCATAGTATATGCTCTTGTATAATTTTAATAGTGTTTTTTCAATAGTCTTGTGGGGTTTTTTCACTTGAATAATTTAGAGAAAGATTTGTATCACTACAACCCTAAGCAATAACATATATAAATGAAATCATGGTTGAATACATGCTAAACCTTTAATTATCATATGTTCATTAAGCTATCAGAAATGCAAATGTTCATACATACACAATCACCTCATGTGGTATGCTGCGGTTGGAACATGGCTTGCCCATTCTGAACTTCTAGGGGAAATTAACTCCCATTGTAGTGGTATTGGGAGGTGGGGCTTTTATATATGAGTAGGTCATAAAGAGGAATGATTGTTTTTTGCAGATTGGCTATGGTGTTACATGCATGTAACACCGCTACTTAAGTGAAAAGCAGGAGCGTTTAAAAATAATTAAAATATAGAACACTGGAGAGTCATAACTCAAGTGTTAAGAGTGCTTGACTAGCAGGGTCCTTGTAACACACACACACACAGAAGCACACTGTGTGTACGTGCTCGCACGATGAATGCCTTTCTCCCAGGAGTGTCAGCAAGTTGCTGTAAAGAAAGACTCATTGGAGTTTTATCTCATTTTTTGTCCACTTGCTCTTCTACTTTCTGCTGAGGTGAAGGCACATATAGCTTTTCTCGGAAACCCAGCCCAGTGTATGCTGGCACCGTGCGCTTGAACTTCACCTCTTCAGGACCTTGAGCCCAAATAAG